TGATTCATGTCAATATATGGCAAAAACCACTACAATATTGTAAAGTAATTAGCCTCCAACTAATAAAAATAAATAAATAAAAAAGAAATTTCTTGCAGAGTTTGAAAAGAAAGAGAATATTTTCTAATCCAATAGCTTTCTACTTGTTCACATTCCTAGCTAAGTACCAGAGCAACTAGGCAGGGCAAGGGAGACTTTGACCAAGGGGAACAAATGGGAGCAGCTCCCAGCATCAGGCTATTTACCACCCTTGAGGACGGAAGCACTCAGTCCTGCAGCTGCTGGAAGCATTGATTGTTGGGTGTTGCTAGCTCATAGCTGAACCCTCACGTCAGGGACTGTCTAAACTGAAGACAGCTGCCTAACCCAAGGCCAAGACTCAGTTCCCTGGATCTGCCTAGGAAGTAGCATTTCTCATCAGTATACAACAGTATAAAAGCCTGGCCTCTTTGCTCCAACGGCAGATGATGCTGCAAGGTCAGACGAGCTCCAGAGCATCACCATGGGACTGGTTGCAGCGTCTATAGTGGCTGCATCACAGCCCAACTTATCCCTCTGCAGATCCCACTTCCCTCACTCCCTCTTCAATACACCACACCCCAATCTCCATCTCAGGGTCTGCTTCACGGAAGCCTGACCTGCCACACATCTTCCTTTCTATTGTTCTTGAGCCGACAGAATCTCTAAAACCCCCATTTCTTCTTCGTTAATTGTTAAGAGCAACAGTCCTGGTAAGGACTCCAGCAGTGGAACTCAACATTGAAGAGGATGGAACATGGCTGTGTGTGAATATTAATTCACAAACAAATGAATGTGTGAATTAGTATTTGTGAATACTAATTCACAAACAAAATCACAAATGATTTTGGAAATTGGGAACAGACTTTCAAAATGAGGTCATACAAAGAACAGGTGATTTGGCAGAAGAAACAGCATATAGAGAAACTGATGTTACATGATAAATTAAGAGGATAGTCTACCATGTACACAAGGACATCAGCCAGGAAAAAATAAAGCTCTCTCTGACTTCCTCCTGAGGGCTCAAGTTCTCAAGCCAGGCAGTCCTTGCTGCAGTCTGATCAAGCATTGCCTCCACCCCTTGTGAGCAGTGAGCAAAACAGTGATGACTTCACTAACAGTGTATTTTCTGCTTGAACTCTCTGCTCTATATTTCAGGGCATTTGTGTTCATGATTCAATCAACTTACTCTACCCCCAATAAAGAAAGTAAATTATTCAGTTATAAAATCTGAACAAGTCTGCATAAAGCTAGCTATATTCTAAATCATAGTCAAATCATCATAAGCATGTTCCATGTGTGCATGTGTGCGTGCCCAGCCACTTCAGCCCTATGTCAGGAATGGAGTCAAAGACAGATATTAGAACAAAAGAAATTTGTAGTGTTCTTATTGTTGTTCAGTCACTCAGTCATGTAACCCCATAGAGTATAGCCCACCAAGCTCCTCTGTCCATGGGATTCTCTAGGCAAGAACACTGGAATGGGTTGCCATGCCTTCCTCCAGGGATCTTCCTGACCCAGGGATCAAACCCATGTCCCCTGCATTGCAGGCAGTCTTTACCACTGAGCCACCAGAGAAGGTCCATAGTCAACAGCATTTATCAGAATCTAATGTTCATGTACAACCAAACCATCCCCGCTATAGGCAACACAACTAAATCAAAGACAGTCATCATGTGCAGGAATTTACCACTGGATGATGTTGTCTGACCTCTGAGACTCCATGGTTTTTAACTATAAATTGGCAAGTATGGGAAAAAACTGGAAGAAGAAATGCCATGCTAGTTTCTAATGATCAGGTCGCTTCTAATTTGGTTGTAAAAATGTTAGGTGCAAATTGTGACATACAGTCTGGAGAGACCTTTGAGATGGATGTCTGATTTTGTCCTCAAATTTGAGGGTTGTGCATATTTTTTCAGGTAGCCTGAGGAATTCAGACTGAATTGGATTTTCAAAGCAAACTGCATAAGTGCTTGTCCAAAAAAGCATCAACATCCACAATCTCTCCAGTTTTTCTGCACAGAGACATGTGGATATCCCCTGAAAATATACACAGCGATAATATTAAAGGGGCAGGAGTGGGGAGGGAATATAATGAATGAGTTCTGTAAGTCAGACCCACTACCAATGGTGTCTTCTCTCTATGTGTGACTTTATGACTTCTGGTTGGCCTAATGCCATATATATCTACAGAGTGATTGTCTGTTGAATAACAGGTTTAATGGTTAGTTTTGAATGACTGGAGTTCCCCACAGAGGACTGAACAGAGAAAATCAGGGTTGCATGTCAATGAAAATGCAAGACAACAGAGCACAAGAAGGACTAATTAGGAGAAGCACTTAGAATTAGTATTGCTCAGGACCCCAGCAGGAAACAAAAGTACACTCCATGAGGATGATCCAATGAGGGACTGTTTATGGGAGCAGACAGGACACAAGAAACCATAAGGAGCAGAGCAGAAGCCCCAAGCAAGGAATTGTGGAGCCGCTACCACTCCTAGAGCTGACTAGACAGAGGAAGGAACACTTACTGGAACCCAAAATGAGAAGTGTTGAGGAGAAACATAATGTACAAGAAGAAATGACCTTCAGTCCACAGCAACAGCCAGCCTGAGGTGACTCCACAGGGAGAAGGTAGGGAATAATACCCCAATCTCCATTTCTTTCCTCTCTGTAATCTGCTGTGCATCCTCTCTCATTGGCCAAGACCAAATAAAGCCCCCTTCTGTGGTCCAAACAGGTCAGCCCCCTGGCCAGAGAGCAGGCAGAATAAGAAATCCTGGCAAAGCAAAGGAGGATACACCCCACTCCAAAAAAAGGGAAGATACCTGGGATACAATGTATCAAGATTTGAGCACGAACATCTTTTTTCCCCTTTCATTCCAACCTCTGATAAAAATTTAATAGCATGGGATAAGATAAATTAAGAAAATGTTCCTGGAAGTAATTCTTCAGCTACATTCCAAGAAAGATGGCGACATAGCTAGGGGATAGTCAAGAAAATCATAGGAAGAGGTTATTGATGGAAGAGGTTATTGGTCTTGAAAGTCATCTTCATCTGCTCTATCAAATATAGTACAAACACATCACTGTTAATCTATCAAATACAGCAAAAAACTATGTGCTATGGTCTTCCACATGGGTTTTTCTATATTTGAAGGCAAGCACCCCAGTGACAGGGAGGCCACATTTTACTGACTTCAGTAATGTTACATTCAGAACCATAGCTATCTGGAGGCAATCCGTTGATCTTCTAGAGAACAGAGGATGGAAAAATGCTGCTTCACCACTTGTAGGACCAAATATTTTCCCAAAGTCCTGGCTCTAGAATCACATAGGCCTAGTTTGGTCTGCATCCTAGTTCAGCCACAAAAATAGCTGGATGATCTTCGGTCAAATTCTGTAATCTCACTAAGCCTTAATGTCCTATTTAAACACCAGCTCCTCCTTGCATTGTCATCACAGTGAAAGAGAATAATGTATCTATATTAAGAAAAGTCCTTTCATTGCAAATATGATTCTGATTTGCATCTGATTCTGGCTGGGAAAGTAGGAGGGAAGAAGCAAAAGAAAAGAGAAGTAGAGAATTTATTGGATACCTTGATAGTCAAGGAAGAAGGGAAGAAAGAGTGGGTTAAAATGTTCATATCACACACAGACCTCCCCAAAGTTCTTATGGTTTCAAGCTCTGTAGATCTCTGAGAGAACAGTAAGCAGCACCACTCTGGGATCCCAGCAACAGCAGGGGTGCCCATTCTTTCTGGAACACATGAATATGTGGCTCCATTTCAATGATTACAGTTCCCCAGCCTCTTCACTGCCACTGCAAATTCCAGGGGGAGAGAATTTCATTGGCTCAGCTTGGATCAAGTCAACCAACTGGGTAAACCAGCTGTGGGATGGGGAGGGGCCCCAATAGTCATGTGGGGCACATGGCACTGTGAGTCTACCCTTGCGTGTCTAGAGGGAAGTCCTGGGGAAGGAGGAATCTGGATGAAGCATGCGGCCTCCACTATCTAGAGAAAGGCCACAGCATAGGGGACCCATCACAAAGAAGTCCTCATGAGCTGTTAGCTATTATTATTTCAATGATTATGATAGAGATAGCATTTAGAAATTTCAGTTGCTCTTCCCTAGAGATCTGTGGTACACCATTAGCTGTTGCTGCTAATATCTATAATTTTTAAATTTTGGATTTATCTTATATTTCTTATTAGATTATAAATTCATGAAGAGAAAAGACCATTATATTCCCAGTTTCTATATATATATCCTTATTTTCTAATGCTTCAAAAACAGTAGGTACCCAAATAAATGTGGTCTACTGCCTAAATCTCACTAGTCTATACTTATATTAGAACTACTGTGACCAAAATATGTCCCTGTTTGCCTTTCCTTAAAATCTAAGACATAAAATCAATGTCCACTCAGTGAACTGAAAGTTTAGAGTCAGACACTCAAAGAAAACTCTTCATATTTCAATTTGAAGAAAAAAATTAACTTATCATATTTGACCCTGCCCAACATTTTCAATTATTGAAAGTGGCTTACAATAAATATGTCAGCTGCCAATTCTGATCCAATAGTAGGAACTGTCTGGCACTATGTTGAAAAGGTTCATGAGAAAAAGGCTGAGACAAAAAAATGCCATAATTAATTATTCATGTCTGTCATGGACATAGGATTGATTAAATTTGTCCTCAATTTTTAGATAACTTGAGAACTGATTTAAAGTAGATGACTATATTATCTTACTATTAGACATTATCATCATCTTTGCGATTATTTAAATACTAGAACAAGAGATGATTATCAAGAATACATTTAACTGATTTGTTACTTATCCTTTAAAGTCATGATTTCCAAATCTAGCATTTAAGTGATGATTGTGTATGTATAGCTAGATTGTGTATCATTTATACTTGGTCAAGTACATAAACAGAAAACTCAACTCAAAAAAATTTGAATGAGATAGAGACTTACTCTATTTTTCTCTCGCATAGAAGTCCCAAGATAGGCAATCTAAGGCTGATATAGAGGCTCAAAAGTCATAGTAACCTGGTTGTCTTCTATCTTTGCATTCTACCTTCCTCAACCAGAGGCTTCCGTCATCAAAGCTGCCTCATTGCCCACGACAGCTGCTGGATCTCCAACCACCATATCTGTATTCTAACCAGGAAGAAAAAATAATGGAGAAAATTGTTAGTGGAAGTGTTTTCCCAATGAGTCAGCCCTACTTTAAATAGATTTCCCAGAAGCCCCACTTGATGACTTTCAATTATCTCCCACTGACCATTCAAGCAGTAAGGGAATGTGGGAACTTCTCTTTTCAGCAGAACACATTGTAATTTGGGAGATAGGGAGAATGGGTATTTTAGTAGGCAGCTGATGATCTCTGACACAACTTTTTTATTAGAAACATGCTGTTCTAAGTCCTTAGTGATTCCACTAGATGATACATTCCATGGAAGCAGGGACCTGGTCTATTTTGTTCACTATACCCCCTCATCCCACCCTACCCCCAACCCCCCAGCACCCAGAACATGGCATAAACAGTTAATCAGTGAGTAACAGACCAAGTCATAGTGAAAACCCTAACTTCCCCCAAAGCCCAAGTTCAGTTCAATTCAGTTCAGTTCAGTGGCTCAGTCGTGTCCGACTCTTTGGGACCCCATGAATCACAGCATGCCAGGCCTCCCTGTCCATCACCAACTCCCGGAGTCCACCTAAACTCATGTCCATTGTGTCAGTGATGCCATCCAACCATCTCATCCTATTGTCTCCTTCTCGTCCTGCCCTCAATCTTTCCCAGCATCAGGGCCTTTTCCAGTGAGTCAGTTCTTTGCATCAGGTGGCCAATATTAAAGTTTTGTCAAAGTAATGTCTATGCTTTTTAATATGCCGTCTAGATTGGTCAGAACTTTTCTTCCAAGGAGCATACATCTTTTAATTTCATGGCTGCAATCACCATCTGCAGTGATTTTTGGAGCCCAGAAAAATAAAGTCAGCCACTGTTTCCACTGTTTCCCCATCTATTTGCCATGAAGTAATGGGACTGGATGCCATGATCTTAGTTTTCTGAATGTTGAGCTTTAAGCCAACTTTTTCACTCTCCTCTTTCACTTTCATCAAGAGGCTCTTTAGTTCTTCTTCACTTTCTGCCATAAGGGTGGTGTCATCTGCATATCTGAGGTTATTGATATTTCTCCNCAAACCAGTCAGAATGGCCATCATCAAAATGTCTACAAATGCTGGAGTGGGTGTGGAGACAAGAGAACATTCTTGCGCTCTTTTTGGGAATTTAAATTGACACAGCTACTTTAGAAGATGGTATGGAGAGTCCTTTAAAAATATAGGAATAAAACCACCATATGACCCAGCAATCCCACTCAGGCATGTACCCTGTGGAAACCAAAATTTAAAAAGACACATGTACCCCAATGTTCATTGTAGGTCTATTTATAATAACTACAACATGGGAGCAATATAGATGTGCATCAACATATGACTGGATAAAGAAGCTTTGGTACATGTATAAAATGGAATATTCAGTTCAGTTCAGTTGCTCAGCCATGTCCGACTCTTTGTGACCCCATTGACTTCAGCAAGACAGGCCTCCCTGCCCATCACCAACTCTAGAGTTTACTCGAACTCATGTCCAAGGAGTCAGTGATGCCATCCACCCATCTCATCCTCTATCGTCCCCTTCTCCTCCTGCCTTGAAACTTTCCCAGCATCAGGGTCTTTTCCAATGAGTCAACTCTTCTCATGAGATGGCCAAAGTACTGGAGCTTCAGCTTCAGCATCAGTCCTTCCAATGAACACCCAGGACTGATCTCCTTTAGGATGGACTGGTTGGATCTCCCTGCAGTCCAAGGGACTCTCAAGAGTCCTCTCCAACCCCACAGTTCAAAAGCATGAATTCTTTGATGTTCAGCTTTCTTCACAGTCCAACTCTCACATCCATCATGACCACTGGAAAAACCATAGCTTGACTAGACGGCCTTTGTTGAAAAAGTAATGTCTCTACTTCTGAATACACTGTCTAGGATGGTCATAACTTTTCTTCCAAGGAGAAAGTGTCTTTTAATTTCATGGCTGCAGTCACCATCTGCAGTGATTTTGGAGTCCCCCCAAATAGTCTGCCACTGTTTCTGCTGTTTCCCCATCCATTTGCCATGAAGTGATGGGACCAGATGCCATGATCTTAGTTTTATGAATGTTGAGTTTTAAGCTAACTTTTCACTCTCCTCTTTCACCTTCATCAAGAGGCTCTTTAGTTCTTCGATTTCTGTCGTAAGGGTGGTGTCATCTTCTTATCTGAGGTTATTGATAATTCTCCTGGCAATCTTGATTCCAGCTTGTGCTTCATCCAGCCTGGCATTTCACATGAGGTACTCTGCATATAAGTTAAATAAGCAGGGTGACAATATACAACCTTGACAATATACTCCTTTCACGATTTAGAACCAGTCTGTTGTTCCATATCCAGTTCTAATTGTTGCTTCATGACCTGCATACAGATTTCTCAGGAGGCCGGTCAGGTGGTCTGGTATTCCCATCTCTTTAAGAATTTTCCAGTTTGTTGTGATCCACACAAAGGCTTTGGTATAATCAATAAAGCAAAAGTAGATGTTTTTCTAGAACTCTCTTGCTTTTTAGATGATCCAGCAGATGTCAGCAATTTTATCTCTGGTTCCCACATAAAAACCACAAAAGGACAACTAAGGGGTCCTATAAAATAAGCCAAATCAGCCAACAGATTGGAGGAATGAGCCTGTTTTTAACCTCTTCTAGTTATCACATGCATTATCCTTGATTGTTTTGTAAAGGTTTTCACTTTTTGTTTTGTTTTTGTTATGTAGTATTACAGGCTGAACTACTAGAAAAGAAGAATTCATGTGAACAAACCATGGAGGAAAAACTCACTGTTCTCTGAATACTCCCTAAAAGGGGAACCACCAGTATTAGCAGCAGCTCTGCACAGTAACGTACAGGCTGAGGAATCACCTTAAAACATGTCTTCTTAGAAAATGGAAGTCAATATTATACTTCTAAATGTGGCTTTTTAAAACCTGAGAGCTTAAAAGTTTGTACACCTCCCTTCTGGTCATAATTATCCGTTTTTTTCTCTTGAATGCCACAAAGCTGCAGAGGAGGACTGCATAGTCAGCTCCCTGTATCCACGGGCTCCACATCTGCCAACACGGAGGGCAGACTCTCCTACACCATTTTATATAAGGGATGTGAGTGTCAACAAATTTTGGTACCCAGAGGGAATCCTAGAACCAATACCCCCACAGACACCAAGAGACAACTGTACTTAGGACAGGACATGCTGGTTGCCCACTTAATCCAGAAGTCATGCAAAGTTAAAGATGGGCAAAGCATTGGGAAATATTGATACCATAGGCCCAAACTGTTCCACGAGTCTAATGTCCTTGTGGCCAAAGCACTGGCCCCAGCTCTCTGGGATTATTTGAACAATTTGATATTCACCAGATTTTATTTAGCTAACAATAATTTGGCCAGAATTCTCTTTCCAATTACAGCTTTATAGATGTTTTTGCAAGGTTCTTGAAATAGGAACAAATTTGATTTATGTAGTGGAACATAACATCAGCAGTTAATTTAATTATGGGGCAGAAATGCACATGGAAATGTTTAAAAGAAATTTCCATTGTCAATTAGTTTTTGAAAACAAAGAAAACTCAAAATTTTAATTATATAGAGATACACAGTAAACTATGAAAGGATACTTTAGGATCAGCAATATATAATTTATTTCCTTCATTTATTGGTACTCCCTCCCCCACTCCCTAAGAAATATTACTATTTAAATGTGTCAAAAATATTTTATTGTCTATTTATTTCCCAAATTGAATTATAACCTGATGGATTAGTTTCATTAAAAAGTTACAAAGAATTGAGAAAATAATTCGGTAATATTAGAAATAATAAATATACCAATGCAAATAAAATAATAAAGATAAGTGAAAAAGGAAGTAAAATACCCGGAACACCATAATCTGCTTGCTTCTTAATGTCCCTAAACCAAGTAATTCATAACCAATTTCTAGAAGAGTATTTTATATTTAATTAATTTATTATCAATTAGCTTTTGGTTTCTTTTAGTTTCCTTAGAAGTTAAGGGTCAAATGTTCAAGCATAGCAATTCCTGACTTCTGTCTTTGCAATTTAAGATAGCCATTACTTAGAACTGTTTTCTCTAAAGAATCCCTAAACACTTGATGGTACACTTGTCCGTACTACATTCATTTCCTAAAGAGAAAAATATGTGTGTGTTAGTCACTCAGCCATGTTCGACTCTTTGTGACCCCATGAACTGTAGCCTGCCAGGCTCCTTTGTCCATGAGGCTTCTCCAGGCAAGAATACTAGAATGGGTTGCCTTACCCTCATCTAGGGGATCTTCCCAACCCAGGGATTGAACCCAAGTCTTCTGCATTGCAGGAAGATTCTTTACCATCTGAGCCACCAGGGAAACCTGAAACTGTAATTCTAAATATACTGAGGTGTCCAGGCACTTTTTTATTTAAGAATTTCCAGTTATGCCTTGCATGCTCTGTCCATTCCCAATCCAACCTCCAGGGCATGAGAATTCTGGCAGAAATGGTTTTAGATGCCATTATTAATATTTGTCAGGTCACGAAATCCATGTATTTTAGAGCTTAAAGGAAACTGATAGGTTTGGAGATCTATTTGGTGTTCTGAGATCTCCAGCCTGATTTTCTTTGATGTTTCTCTGGGTATCATTGAATACTTAATCCTACTCATTACCTGGACCACATCATTTCACAAACATTACAAATGAATATTTTCTGATCTACCCAGTGTGACATTTTACTTCACCTTTTGAAAGACAGATTTATGAAAGAGAAATATACACTGTTTTAGAAAATTTGGTCTGAATTTCCCAGCACATTTTTAAGCACTCCAAGGTTATAGTCCAAATATGACCATATGCCTTCCCCACCACCCAATAAAACCCTAGAAGCATCCAAAACTCGATTGCTATACTAACACACTACCTCCAGCATTCATCCAAGAAACCAAATCTAAATCATTATAATCCCTGGACTGACAGAAAATGACATTTAAGTCAATATATCTCTAAAGAACTTCTGCTCCCTTACTGTTTATGGACTTA